TTTTCCTCATGTTTTGACTATTGTTATGGTCAGCTGCACGCTGGCATATCAGGTGACGTCTCGGTTTGGCGTCCCTGCGTAGTATGGGGCTAGCCCAAAGTGATTATATTGTATAGGTTTTGTTGGTTCAGGGTCTTTCATCTTCCAAGCTGCCTGCGCACGGGTTGGTGGTGGGAGAGATCTGGACGTGTAATGTTAATTTTACCTGTGATCCTCTGAATAAACCAGTATGGTTATTTTTTTATAAAATCTAAAGTGGTCTACTTCGTCTTTGTGAGTTCCTGGTTTGAAAGAGCCGAAAGGAGCTTTGTAAATGAAACAGAGCTTATACTGTGTTGCTACTTTTAATAATCAGACAGTTACATCCAGGTAAGTTCATACACAAGCCACTGATCAGTCTGCCGGTCTGTGAATGACATTATTTTGATGCCCACCAGTTGAATGTGTTGTAGTCTTCTCCACTAACTTGATCATTTCTCCACAGTAGTCTGGCTCTAGGTCATCATGGTTCAAGGCCTGCTGTAGTTATGAATTTACTGTGTGTCTCTCTCTTCAGATGTAGCTACACTCAACAGTGTGTTTTATTCAATTTCAGATGTTTGTAAGCAGCATATGTTCTTTTTGTGTGGGTATGTACCTCATACCTGAAAACCCACACAGTTTATGCAAGGTTTGTACCTCACTTTTATATTCACCCCTCTACTGCTAAGACTGAAAACTCTGGTGTCCAAGTGCTTTACTCAATTTTAGCAAAAGCAATTGTCTGCATGATGATCTGGACCGATACTATAATTAACAAGCACTTTGTAACAATAATCATTCTTGCTGTGAAAAAAAAACATTTTTGTGGTGTAAAGATTCTACAAATGGGCGGCATGGTGGGGCAGTGGTTAGTGCAATCACCTCACAGCAACAAGGTTCTGGGTTCGACCCGGGGCCTTTCTGTGTGGAGGCTGCATGTTCTCCCTGTCGAAGACATTTCACCTCTCATCCAAGAGGCTTCATCAGTTCTGACTGACTGGTGTTGAGCTGGAGATATTTATCCCCCTCGGTGGTGTTTCAGTCCTTTGAAGGCCAACAATGTCCCTTAACGACTGAGTTGTTATAGCCCAGTATTGGTGAGAGTCGTTACCTGTCTTTGAATCCTCCCCTGTTGACCGACGCCTATTGTCCTGGTGGGCATGTTTGGGCAGAGATCTCAAAACAGCATTGTAGATGGAAGACAAGTTATGTCTAAGACTACGTTCACACTGCAGGCTGAAGTGGCCCAAATCCAATCTTTTTGCCCAAATGTGACCCATATCCGATTTCCTTATGACAGTGTGAACAGCACAAATCCAATTTTTTCAAATCAGGCCCAGGCCACTTTCATATGTGGACCTAAATCGGATACACAATGTTTTGTAATGTGACTTCATTCTGAACGGCCATGTCGCATTTCATGCAATTGTAATGCCACTGAAATGCGACAGACATCACAATTCTGCACTGGAGGAGGCAAGGCCATAAACAATATTTGTGCTCTCCTTCTTCTTGATATTCTTCTTATTATTATTTCTTTATTTCGATTGCACATTAACTGGTACATCGCTACGCACATGCCATCACGAGCCGCATCCATTTTTGTTTTCACAAACACAGTACGCTGCGTCTGACGTCACGTCCTCTTCTGTGCATGCGGGTCACCTCAGGGCCGTGTACCGTTCACACATGAGACAGATGGCAGTCGCATTTAAATGACAGTGTGAACAACAGCGCAAAAAAAATCAGATTTCAGCAAAAAATCCGATCTGAGCATTAAGACCTGCAGTGTGAACGTAGTCTTAGTCCACCACCCCTACTTAGTGAGGGGTGTTCTATTTTTACAAAAATAGCTTCCTTAACTCCTCTCTGTGTGTGTCTGTTGGTTAAGTGGTGTGTAGCTAAAAACATTCTCACGACCTCTAGTAACATGTCGTGGCTTAAACATAAGAACCTATTATGGCTAAGGCTACAGTTATACACGTCATAATAATAATATTAAACACCCTGTCTGCTGACAGTCATCAACTCTTCTCTCTAGTTATCCTTGACCAGATGTACCCTGTAGAAACTCATAAGCATGACTAAGCATTTAACAGTCTAACTAGACATCCTATCTCCACTAAACATTTCTAATACATAAAGTATCTATCCAATTTCTATCGGACTAAAAATACCTAACAATTTTTACAAAAATAGCTTCCTTAACTCCTCTCTCAAACCAGCGATGTTCTCTGGAGAGGATCTGGACCTCACTGTCCTCAAAAGAATGTCCTTTGTCCTTCAGGTGGAGGTGGACTGCTGACTCTGGTCCACTGGAGTTGGTCCTCCTGTGTTGGGCTATGCTTTTGTGAAGCGGCTGCTTAGTTTCACCAATGTACAAGTCATTACACTCCTGACTACACTTAATTGCATAAACCACATCACTCTGTTTATGTCTGGGTATTTTGTCCTTCGGGTGGACCAGTCTCTGCTGCAGGGTGTTACCTGGTTTAAAGTTAACTGGGATATTGTGGTTACGAAATATCCTTTTTAACTTCTCTGATAAACCAGCCACATAAGGGATGACAGTGTTATCCCCTCTTGTTTCTGGTTTCTCCCTTGCTTTGGTGAAGGCCCACTTAGAGTATCCACAAGCCCTAAGGGAGTTCTGGATGTGTAAATTCTCCTTCTTGGCCCTTTCTTCAGTTGTGGGCACGTCCTCTGCCCTGTGATTTAAAGTTCTGATGGCTCCCACTTTGTGTTGAAGGGGATGGGTCGGGGCAAAAAGCACGGAAT